TATTATATATGTATGTATATGTATATATATATATATATATATATATATATATATATATATATATACACATATATATGTATATATATATATTATATATATATATATATGTATGTATATATATATATATATATATATATATATATATATATATATATACATATATATATATGTGTGTGTGTGTGTTGTGTGTGTGTGTGTGTGTGTTTGTATATACATATATATATATGTGTATATATACATATATATATATATATATATATATATATATGTATATATATATATAATATATATATATATATATATATATATATATATATATATATATATATTATATATATGTATATATGATCGTATATGCTCGTATACATACAAGTGGGAACACGTGACTCGAAGCTCGCCCTCTTGCGAGCGGCCATGACCAGATAAGAAGCAGATTTTTGTGGCGTAATGACACGACTCTTATCGGTGGAGGTAACCGCATTATGCTGTTTGTGGCCTCATTTACATCAGGTTGCAACAACGCAGAGTGTATAAGGATATAAATCATAAACACACACAGAGGTAGACTCAAATACACATATATCTGTGTCTCTGTGCGTAATTACATGAATACACAAAAATATGTATTAATCTCTCTCTCTCTCTCTCTCTCTCTCTCTCTCTCATCTCTCTCTCTCTCTCTCTCTCTCTCTCTCTCTCTCTCTCTCTCTCTCTCTCTCTCTCTTTCTCTCTGTATATATAACACACACACGCACGCACACACACGGTATGTATGTGTGGCTGCGTGTGATCATGAGTGTCCATGAAAGTATACGCACATACAAATCGAGTCCACATGAACAACCTCGAGCACATATTCCTCCAGCGGCGTGTGGACGTCGGTGTACCTGACGCGGGCGGCGCGAGTGAAGGGCGTGTACAGCTCGTCCTTGGTCATCGTCGGGGCAGTTTGGGTGATGACGGCGATCGGCCTCGGCCACGGCATCTTCACCTACCAGTCATCGTTCACTGACGTCGTCGCAGGAGGTCTCATCGGCGCCGGGGGAGCTCTGTTCCTGGTAGGGGTCATCGCGAGAGGACTAAGAGAGCTGTGCTTTTCGCTCCCGGTTTTTCAACGACTTGCATTGGTTATGATATGAAGATCTATTTAATTGAAAAAATAATGAAAACAGGTAAACGAATTATCACAGGAGAAACCTTTTAATTTTCCTGTCTTTAGATCTTCGGTCTACTGAATGGCTTCAAGGAGAAGAAGTGGAAGGTGGGCGTCATCAAGAGGCGGTCTCTTCAGGCCCAAGAACATTCCAACCTCATGCCTATGGTCCCTCTGGCGGGCTCCGATGTAAGTCCTGTCAGGGTGTAAAAAATACACCTCTGTTTTATTTGTCCCGTTGGCTTTGTGCGCGTGTGCAGATGGTAGATTCGTATTTTCTGTGCATTCACTAATCTTAAATATTGTTTTCTTTGTCTTCTCACGCGATTCATTATTCAGATTTTTACATTTTGTTGACCTTCCCTACATGAAGGAATTGCATAATTCAAGTATTTTTCCTTTCTTTCTTTCTCTTTCTATAGATCCATAGCTTTTACATCTCGTTTTCTAAATCTCACGATTTACACGAGTTCCATGCTATGAACAGATAGAGAGCGACTGATTGTAGCTGCACTATTGTCATTATCATTATAAAGTCCTTTTCATCGTCGTAACTATAGATGATGTTCAATATATATATAATATATATATATATATATATATATATATATATATATATATATATATATATATATATATATATATACGTACTTTCTTCTACCACTGGTAATGTTGATAGTAACTATAATAGTAGTAGTTGCAGAAGCAACATTTCAGATATGGCTACGCCTTGCTTGACGTCCCTCCTCCAAATTTATCTATTTGTCTATTTTCTTCATGCCATGAGATCTGATACACGCCATAATCATCACTACCATAACGATGTTAAATTTGCTGATTTGGTCACCATGCTTATCCCTTTCCCTCATCACTCCTTTCTTTTCTTGATTTCCAAAGTTACCCGCCAAGCCGAACGAAATCAACATGGACGACATGGACGACGAGAGCAGCGAGGACTCGTCGGGAGAGGAGAGTGACGAGGGGCGGTACAACCGTCTGGCTTTTAGCAGTGACTCCTTCCCCATCATCCCGCGAGCTGCCAGTCGACCCCTGTCCTTAGTCATCCCCGTAAGAGAACTGAAGAGCATGAAACACGGCTCTTCAGGTGTATGGTAGAGTGGCTCGGTAGTGGGCGTGTGGAAGCAAGGTCTTGATCGAGGGGTTTGCTTCCCGTCAGCGGCTGGTTTGAGTGCATTTAGGTCTGTGGGGGAATTAGAGTTCCTGCGAGCGATATTGTGTAATTGGATTGTTGAAAAAAGAGGAAGCTGTAACACTATTATTGTTGTTTTTCAATTTCGCGGGAGGTTCAGATCCAGAATGTCAAGCAGAAATAAATGATGGGTAAAATGGTGAAAAGAAAAGGAAAGAGGAGAGAGGGAGGGAAGGAGAGAGAGAGAGAGAGAGAGAGAGAGGAGAGAGAGAGAGAGAGAGAGAAGAGAGAGAGAGAGAGAGAGAGAGAGAGAGAGAGAGAGAGAGAGAGAGAGTCATACAGGCAGAGTAATAAACACAGAAAAAACAGAGATAAAGAGAAAGATTTCAGAGAAAATAGTCAAAGAAGAAGGAGGGGGGAGATTAGGAGTGAAAAGAAAACAAACAAAAAATAATGTGATGATAAAAACACCCAAAACAAAGTATATGTATTACAAGTACCAAACGTCTGGAAACATAGGTATTAAGTGTCGCCAGAGTATTCCAAAGTCTGAAATGAGTTCCCTGTTTTCGTTTCCCTAAAATTCGACACCTCATAAGTCGACAAGTATTGACCACTGCTTCCCCCTTTCAGGCGAGCCCCAGGGAGAGGTCGCCAGCGCAGGCCGTCAACTCCGTCGTGGCGAATCCCCCTCCCCTCCTCCTCCACCCCCTCCTCCCCGCCCTCCCGGCCTCCCCCAGCTACTCCCGGCCGGCCATGTCCCCCTGGAGTGCCACGCAGACCAAGCCCTACAACGTGCCCAGACAAAGGTACGAGTTGAGATTTAAGGCGAACAGACAGCTTTGGCAACACTTTCAGTTTCTGTCTTGTCAACTTGCCACAGATTGCAGAAGCTTAAGGGATTTTGGGCTCGGTGCAGGAATTTCTTCCCCTTAGACAATCATTCAGAGATACTGATTCCTGACCAAGTGAATGTGTTGAGCATAATGTGCACTCCTGTTCAGTCACATAACTACCAGTTCTGTTAAGCAGCCTGTTCAAAAAGCATCTGAGTAAACAGTGTGTTTCTGGAATAGACATGTGGGCATCATGAATCATTAATGTAAAACAAGACATAAACAAGAGATACACATAGATGTATTTATTAATCAATATATTCATTTATCTACCCATTTATTCATGCAGATAAACAGCAAAAGTATATAATTCCCTATCTGGTGCTTCTGCCTGAGGATGGATCTAGCATCTTAATGTTTTCTGATTACCTTTATGTATTTTCTTAAAGATATTCATAAAGCAGAAGTGATAATACGAACCATTTCAATGTGGGAGACGTTACACCACGCTAAAATATGATCTTATCATATTCCCCCTCCTCCCTCCCTCCCTTCCTTAATTCAGGTCTGCTTCAGTATCATTAAAAGCCACTTATGCTAATCTCGCCCCCACCCCCAGGTACTCGGCCCCGGCCCCCGCCCGCGCCCCGGCCTACGACCTCAGATACGACAACACCTACAGACGGCAGGACGACTACCCGCGGACGCACCACCTACGGGACTCGGACACCCTCCCGCGCGCGCGCACCGAGACGTCCTCCTACTTCTGATGTGCTTCGATGTTCCGCTCAATTTTGTCATGGGTCTACTTTTCATGGAGTTTTTGCCCTTGTTAAAGTTCACTTGTCAGATGCGTCTTGCGTTTAGTTATGTATCGCCCAGACAGATTTAAAAAAACAGACGCATATCTTCATACACACATGCAGAATGGACATACGCCATACATTCGCATTTATGAGTGGGCACACACGCGTGCATTTGTACAAAAACACATAAGGATACTTACACAGATATATTTGTAGTGTTGACCCCGTGCAGCGTCGTAATCGAAAGAGTAGAATTACTTTAATCTGAACAAGCAGTTCAATGTAAAAAGAATGTTGATTGCAAAGTGCTTTCTATGTTTCGTGTTTGTTAATTCCATTTACTTTGTCTCTTTTATAATGTCACTTAACTCTAATTTTATAGGTGTAAACTCTCGAAGCGTCCATCATAATGCGCTCCCGAAAGTAAAATGATGAATATATATATATATATATATATAATATATATATATATATATATATATATATATATATATATATATATATATATATATATATATATATAATTTTTTTTTTTTTTTTTTTTTTTTTTTTTTTTTTTTTTACATATTGTAGATATATTTCCAAATTTTATTTTTCATCAGCTTACCTACTTCCTCTCTCTCTCTCTCTCTCTCTCTCTCTCTCTCTCTCTCTCTCTTCTCTCTCTCTCTCTCTCTCTCTCTCTCTCTCTCTCTCTCTCTCTCTCTCTCTCTTGCTATTCGGTATGGCTAATCGCCGTGTCCCTCCTGTTCCATTTCTAGTCCCATCGTCACCTGGTGTAACGGCAGGACAAATTTAAGCAAATTGATAATACCAGAATTGTTAAGCCATTATGCCGTAATGTGGTTTGTGACGCTCCGAGAGGAAAGGGTTAACAGTAGAATTATGACTCGTGAGATCGTCTCGTAAAAGTGATTTGTCGTGTTTGATTGATGCTTTGTACGATTATAATGACCGGTAACGTTGATTGTCTGATTAGGATTAGTTTGTCATCTTTAAAGCTGCCTTGAATAGAAAATATACACTTACTTTTTTGTAAAGATTGTTACTCATACCACATATTTATTAACTAGTTGTCAGTGTGATAGGCTTCTGTTGGTCAGATCATTTAATATGTTTCATTAATAAAAAATATTATATCAGAAATTTTATTTACATCTTATCCGCCGAAAGGTCTCCCTTTCGAACTACATTTGTTTCACAGACCAGTTTTTTAATTGAAATATTATACTATCAGGAAACGAAAATAATAAGGAAGAGACAAAATGCTGACAAAAAAAAATATTTTACACACATTTCCTATAATTTTACAGCACTTGCAAGGTATTTAGTTGTAATAGATAATGATTCAATCACAGCATTATATAAAAGGGTAAATCTATGTGCAAAAAGGCGACGGCCCTCAGGGACAAAGCCCGCAGGACCGAGGACACGTTTCCTGGACGTACATCTGCCACTCGCACTGGCGTCGGGCTCGGCCGGGGGCGCACGCGCAGCCTCCCCCGCGCGCCCAGTGGACGCATTCAATGTTCCCGTCGTCGCAGGACACCAGCTGCAGGTCGGGGCGCAGGAGAGGCCCGTCGATACCAAAGAAGTCGGGGAAAGGCGGTCGAATAACAGGTCGAAGAGGGTTTCTGATATCGAATAAGTCGACGATGGTGCCCATGGCTGGAGCCTCGGAGTCCTGAGGATTGCCAGGGAAGAAAAGATTAGAAAACAAGTCCGGGTTCATCCTTTCCGTAGAGGGCTGCGGGGTAAGGATAGCATGGAATGAAGGCTCTTCCTGCTCCTCTTGGCCAAACGCGCCTTCTTCCTGGCCCAACGGATCCTGCGACCCCGTCTCACCACGCACACCTTCCCATTTCGAGGACTCGATTGCTTGCCCTCGGTGCGGGGTCACCTCAGCGAAAGGTCCTGACGAATGAGCCATGGCGTCACTGGGAGTTTGGGCTCCCTCATCAACATAGATATTCGACTCACTGGGGTGATGAAACGCTACGATTGGTTCTGAAGTATAGACTGTGGTTTCACTAATTGAACTTACGTTCTCTGTGGTCATTTCTATAGAGCTGGGAGTCAGAGTGATCCTGTTCGTGTTTATGCTTATGGTTGGTTCAGCGCTGGTAATAATTGCACTGTCTTTGGATGTACCAGTTCCTTTAACTATATCATTTATAGTCTTCTCAGTAGAGGTACCCGTGGTGTCTGTAAGAATATCAGTAGTAGTTGTAACTATGTTTGCGATGGGGTTACCAGCGGCATCGCTAGATCCTTCAGCTGGTAGTTCTGGGTCTTCTGTCGTCTCATCCTTGTAATCAATAGTTAAATCATGTATTACGGCGGCCATGTCGTCGTTCTGAGTTATTACATCAGGGATCTCTCCTTCTATCCCGTAGGAACTGGTTACATCATAGGTTTCAGTAGTCGTGCCAAAGCCAAGGGTCATACCAGAGATTTCTTTATCCAAGTCGAAATCGTGTGGGTGAACAGTAATCATTTCTGCAGAGCCAGTAGATATATCCGAGTCTGTTGACAATACAGGAAAGTCCTCTGTAGTTGTTCCACTATTTTCTCCGAGTCCTTCATATTCCTCGATTACACTATTTTCTTCTTCCGGGGCCATACCACGGTCACTTATCATGGCCGTGCTCTCTGCGAATGTCCAGGGAACCTCCGCGCTTATTCTGGCTTGCTCTGTCACCACGTAGAAATTTTCAGTGACGATGTTAGTTTGAGAAATCGAATTTGGAGTTTCTGTGGTAATGTGTGTAGTCATGTCACTTGAGAGGACGGTGGTGTCATAGGGCGTGTTGTCATATTCAGTAGTAAAACCAGTGTGTTCAGAGTCTTCGTCAGTATAGGCACTTGTGGAGAAAATACCGGTTATATTAGTGAATTCAGTGAATATATCTATGTAGACAATGGTAGTGTTGGGTGGATCAGAAGACATTTTGCTGGTGGAAGGCATGTCTATATTGACTGTGGCAGAACTAGGAACGTTAGTATAATCAGTAGCTATATTGGGTGTGTTAGTATATTCAACGGGCATGCTGGGTGTGTTAGTATACTCAGTGGACATGCTGCTTTCGTTGATATACTCATTGGCTATGTTAGTATGCCCACTAGCTGTGCTAAGTGTGTTAGTATTCTCAGTAGCTATGTTAGCATAATTAGTGGCTACGCTGGTTGTGTTGGTATATTCAGTGGCTATGCTGGGTATGTTTATGGACTCCGTGGCTATGATGGGTATGTTAGTGGACTCCGTGGCTATGCTGGGTATGTTGGTATACTCAGTGGCTATGTTGGATGTGTTAGTATATTCAGTGCCTATGCTGGGTGTGTTAGTATACTCACTGGTTATGCTGGGTGTGTTAGTATACTCAGTGGCTATGTTGGGTATGTTAGTATACTCAGTGGCTATGCTGGGTATGTTAGTATACTCATTGGCTATGCTGGGTATGTTAGTATACTCAGTGGCTATGTTGGGTGTGTTAGTATACTCAGTGGCTATGTTGGGTATGTTAGTATACTCAGTGGCTATGCTGGGTGCGTTAGAATACTTAGTGGCTATGCTGGGTATGTTAGTATACTCAGTGGCTATGCTGGGTGTGTTAGTATACTCAGTGGCTATGCTGGGTGTGTTAGTATACTCACTGGTTATGATGGGTGTGTTAGTACACTCAGTGGCTATGTTGGGCATGTTAGTATACTCAGTGGCTATGTTGTTAGTATACTCAGTGGCTATGTTGTTAGTATACTCAGTGGCTATGTTGGGTGGGTTAGTATACTCAGTAGCTATGCTGGGTATGTTAGTATAATCAGAGGCTATATTGGGTGTGTTAGTATACTCAGTGGCTGTGCTGGGTGTGTTAGAATAAGTATTGGCTATGTTGGGGGTGTTAGTATACTCAGTGGCTATGTTGGGTGTGTTAGTATACTCAGTGGCTATGCTGGGTGTGTTAGTATACTCAGTGGCTATGTTGGGTGTGTTAGTATAAGTATTGGCTATGTTGGGGGTGTTAGTATACTCAGTGGCTATGTTGGGTGTGTTAGTATAAGTATTGGCTATGTTGGGTGTGTTAGTGTACTCAGTGGCTATGTTGTTAGTATACTCAGTGGCTGTGCTGGGTGTGTTAGTATACTCAGTGGCTGTGTTGGGTGTGTTAGTATACTCAGTGGCTGTGTTGGGTGTGTTAGTATACTCAGTGGCTGTGTTGGGTGTGTTAGTATACTCAGAGGCTATGTTGGGTGTGTTAGTATACTCAGAGGCTATGTTGGGTGTGTTAGTGGACTCCGTGGCTATGTTAGGTATGTTAGTATACTCAGTGGCTGTGCTGGGTGTGCTAGTATACTCAGTGGCTGTGCTGGGTGTGTTAGTATACTCAGTGGGTATGTTGGGTGTGTTAGTATACTCAGTGGCTATGTTGGGTGTGTTAGTATACTCAGTGGCTATGTTGGGTGTGTTAGTATATTCATTGGCTATGTTGGGTGTGTCAGTATACTCAGTGGCTATGCTGGGTGTGTCAGTATACTCAGTGGCTATGTTGGGTATATTAGTATACTCAGTGGCAGTGCTGGTTGTGTCAGAATTTTCAGTGGACATGCTGAGCGTGTCAGTATAATCAGTGGATATGCTGGGTGTGTTAGAAAATCCAGTGGCTATGCTTGGAGCATTAGTAGTTATGTCGCTGTAGTCAGTTGAGGCGCTGGTATAGGCGCCATTATCGGCTGTCGGAATGCTTTCGGTGCTGAGCCTGCCAGAGGGAATGGTGGTCCCAAAGAAGGGCATAATAGTACCATCGACGTCAGTAGTCGCGGCGGTATCATTCTTTGACAATGTCACAGGATACTCTTCAGAAATGCCAGTGTCGTCGGCGTCATCTGGGGTGTCTGTAGGAGCGCCCTCTTCCTCGTTGCGCTGGTGAGTTCCTTCACTGGTTTCCTGCAGCCCTTCTACCGAGGTTGGCTTCGGGTGCGTCTCGAAATGCCCCTCGTTCGCGTCCAGCGCCGGGGCCTGTGTTGACTGCTCGGGGTTCGGCGGGAGCGCTGCGGCTGGCTCCGGTTTGCTCTCCTCCGCGTGCGGTTCAGTCGGCGACTCGACGAGCAACTGCGCGCTGCCACTGAAGCCGAGACTATGCAAAATCGACATCGGAATCGGCCTGGAGAGAAGACTGGGCTCGTCCGAGGGCGTCGTCAGGTCAACCCTAGAAGTAACAGGGGCGTCCGTAGGCGGCGCAGGCGATGGAGACGACGCTGGTGTCTCCGCCGAAGGGGTCGTCGATCTCTCTTCCGGGGGCGAGTAGTAGTCATCGGGTCGGAGGTTCGCGGACTGGAAGCCGTTGACAGCCACGGGCACGAGGAGCTGGGACACCACTTGCCAGGCGGGGTCGGAGAGGTCGACGCGGTCAGCCCCGTGCCTCCCGAGCGCGCCCACCAGCCGCTCTGTCGGGGAGAAGAGGGCAGTCAGTAGGGAGAGATAACAGGTAAAAGTATAATCTAAACCTATGACAGAGAATCATGCCTTAATTGCCAGCAAAAACCTCGTCAGAGAAGGAATAATCAAACAGATAGACAAATGTATATGTATATATAGGAGCATATGTTGTACACACGCACAACGCACATATACATATACAGATATGTGTGTGTCTATATATATATATATATATATATATATATATATATATATATATATATAATATATATATATATATATATGTATATATATACATATATATTATATATATATATATTATATGTATATATGTATATATGTATATGTTATGTATATATATATATATATATATATATATATATATAATATATAATATATATATGCATATATATATATTATATATATAATATATATATATATATATATATATCATATACATATACATATATATATGTATATATGTATATATGTATATAAATAATAAATATATAAATATATAATATATAAATATACATATATATATATATATATATATATATATATATATATATATATATATATATATATATATATGTATATATATATATATATATATATATATATTACATATATATATATATAATATATATATATATATATATAAATACATGAATATAAATATATGATATATAATATATGATATATAATAATATATATATATATATATATATATATATATATATATTATATATATATATATATATATTAATATATATATATATATGTATATGTATATAATATATATATATATATATATATATATATACATATATATATACATATATAATATTAATAATATATATATATATATATATATATATAATATATAATATATAATGTGTGGTGTGTGTGTGTGTGTGTGTGTGTGTGTGTATATATCTCTCTCTCTCTTTCCTCTTCCCTCTCTCTCTCTCTCACTCTTCCTATCTCTCTTCCTCTCTCTCTCTTTCTCCTCTTTCTCTCTCTCTCTTCCCTCTCTCTCTCTTCCTCTCTCTCTCTCTCTTCCTCTCTCTCCTCTCTCTCTTCCTCTCTCTCTCTTCCT